TTGAACAATTAAAAGCAACAACGATGGCTAATATCAAACATATAAATGATTTTCTTTGGTTTAATATTTTTCAAAATCGAATCGTTTCAGGATTGCGTACAAACTATTATATTGATACTGTACCCGGATCCGCAGTTAGTATTTTCCTCATGTCTGGATATACAAATGAGAATAAAACATGTACTTGTACACTAAGTGACAATTGTGTACATCAAGCTGGTATTTACAATCTGACAGGACGTGTAGGCCTACAAATACCACTTTTATTTGGTAGTTTAGCTAATGATGCACCATTATTATTAACGATACCTGGTATTATGGTTGGATGTTTACCATATAATTCTATATTAGCATCAAAATTAGAATGTTTCTATAATCAATCATGTATTGATCAAATTCAAATATTTATGAAAGGTTTTTCATTAGTTAAACCACTTTCATCATCTCATTTCGAAAAAAATACAACAGTAAATGATTTATTTCATCAATTATTTATTGAATCATGGAATCCAATGATTAATTTTACTGGTTATTTTCATATATGTTCTCCAAATTCATGTACATATTCGTATAATCGACGATTCAATTTATTTTATATCATTGTTACTATCATAAGTCTTTTTGGTGGTCTTAAGACGATTTTGTATTTTTCTACACCGGTATTAGTGATATTCATACGAAGAATTCAAAATTGTAAAAATGTTCAAAATACAAATGATGAACATTCAACAATGAATCAAACAAATGAGAGAAATCAAAGTAAACTTCTACCTTATTTGAATACTATATACTTTATTTTATAGATTTCAAGCAATGGTTTAGTTTTCATATCAGTAAAATTTATCAGAAATATCTTACATTAAATATGTTTCCATTGTTATCTGACATCATTGATGGAATTTATTCAACACGTATTTTTATTTTATCACTCATTATTGGAGTACTCGTATTAGTTTTCTATTCATCACTTACAGTTTATATTCGAATCAATAGTGTTTATCAACCGTCAATGAATGAATATGAACAATTATACAAGCAATATTCTTCAACACTTACATGTCCATGTACTCGTCTATCTGTATCTTATTCATCAATCATATATATGAAACCTTATTATCATCAAGTATGTTCAAGTGATTTCGTTAAAGATGATAAGTGGTTACTTTATTCTCTTGGAATAGATGGTTTTATCAATAGTCGAGATTTTCGTATTAGAACTTCTACAACATTCTCTATGCTTCAAAAATTATGTATCTTGTCAATGGAAGCAGTAACGAATGAACTTGCTGTTTTTAATAGTTTACAATTTGTTAATAG